CAAACAGTAGATTGCGTCATCAAGACTGCTCAGAAAAGCTCTAATAATAATTTGGTATGGCTTCGCGGGCCAAATGTAATTAGGCTGCGGGCCAAATTTGGCCCACGGGCCAGAGTTTGACACCTATGCTCTAGAGCGATCAACTGCTGCCCAAACTGTGAACGTGCAAATTAGTTTTGTATTTTTTGTTTTTTTCTCTGCTCAGTTTTACTATGTTAGATTATAAATTCAAGAGAGTTTGGATTTCCACTGTATTCCTGGGGGATTGAATTTCCAAGGGCTGCTGCTGTCCTGTTGGACTATTAGTATCAACACGGATCAGAGATGCGTGCATCGTGGTCGAGGTGTAGTCATTCTCTTTTCAACTCGTTTATCAAAGATGAGAACAAAGTCAGCATTAGCTCAGAACAGGTTAATTAAACAAGTATAATTCAAGTGATTTTATTCTGTTTTTATCCTTTTTTAAATTCTGCTTTTGCTTTGCTCCTTGCTTTTTAACACTTTGTGAAACAGTAAAGGTAAAAACCCGAGTATTAATCTGCATTAGTATAATGCATATATTACAGCTCACTCCAGCCTCTGAATGCAACAGAGTCACTGAATTAAAATCAGCTACATTCCAAGAGCACTGATCTAGAGGGGAGCTGCCATTAACAGGTGTGGCCATAGAATTTATTTTGACTCCCAAGGCTACTCAGGGACAGGGGGACCATGGAGATATGTGGGGTAGACACACGGAGGAGAGAGGTAGCTTTAATGCATTGAGTCTCCTGAGTCATTGGCTCCATCTAAGCTCTGCACTGCCTGCTGGGGAAGACGTGTAGTATCAGAGATTAGGACTTTTTAAACAGAGAGCTGCTCCAGACTTCCTGTACAAGAGTGCTGATCCCACAGATCGACATTCATAGTGTACCTAATGAAATGGAATGAAAGTGATTTTTATATCATATGTGACTTCATTTGTATTTTATTTTATTTCTTAAATGACAGAATCAGAGTTTTTTCCAGTTTTGCTTTGTGCAGGTTTACTAAATGGTCCTCAACCAGATACAGTT